AGCACCTGTTATTCCCAAGTGGTCACCCATCTAGGTACTGACCAGGCTTGACGTTACTTAACTTTGCTGATCGTACGGGATCCAGTGTTTCAAATTCATATGTATTACTAGTTGAACTTTATGTTATTAATGTTTTTTTGCAGCCCGACACTTTACATAGAATTACTTTATTACATAGAAATTTCAAAATAAACATATTAATTCCCATTAGGGTGCACGACACCACCCCCACTAAAAAACTTTTCGCTGCAAAGTAGATAAGCTAAGCTGTAAGGAGTGAAGACAGATTCAACGCGTTTGCCATTTTGTATGTTCACAAAGATATTCAGATAGACTACGATAAAATCGTGAACCTCATATTAAGAGACAGACAAATAGATAGATAGATAGATAGATAGATAGATAGATAGATGAGAAATCCTATTGAAAAAAATGTGCGTCCTCCAGGAGAAAACGTTGTAAAACCCGACGTGGTTTTTTCGATTCAGCCACGATGGACATTGTTGTTCAGACGCGGTTGAATAGTGTTTTAAGCTAAATCCTTCTCGTCATAGTTTCTAGGGCTAGTACACCATAATATAATATATATATATATATATATATATATATATATATATATATATATATATATATATATATATATATATATGAATGAGAAATATAGTTTTAAGGTATGCTATATTCCTCAAGTGGTCAATATCAGAGATAGAGCGTATGTATGTATAAAAATGAAGTCAACATTCAAAGGCGACAGACTGTTTTATGCTAAACGCAATCGTCAGGCCACCGATTGGCCTGACGATTGTGTTTAGCATGAAATAGATAACATTTAGCTCAACTCTCCAAGTTTTTGTTTCCCACTGTTCACCACATATGTATATGTATATATGTATGTATGTGTGTGTAGACAGATATGAATAGAATTTGAGAGATAGATAGAAATAAACTGAGAGATTTATAGATAAAAATATGAATGTGTGTGTGTGTGTGTGTAGTCATAAATCGATATGAATAAAATTTTAGTAGATAGATAGATAGATAGATAGATAGATAGATAGATAGATAGATAGATAGATAGATAGATTAGTGAACCTCGTTTTGTGCACGGGCGTTGTGCACAATACGAAATCTGAACCGGCTTTCGTGTCGCTAGTAAATGCAATTACAAATTCAAACTATGAATATGTATAATTTGCCTAATAGTAAATGGTTTTTAATTAACAATGAAATCTTCTATTATTCACCATAAGCAAAAGCAAAACGCTATGAAACCTAACTATAGAAACAATCAACTAAATGATGCCAATCACGTAGCCAGCAGAATCATTTGGATGATAAAATTACTTTAATAAAATTCTCTCTCTTTCTCTTTCTATCTCTTTTTTCTCTTTCTTTCTCGCTTGTTTCTTTTTTTTCTTCAATCAATTCTTCTCTCTTTCCGAAGTTAAACATTTCACAACTTTTAAAAAATTATTCCTTCTGTCCTCAAGGACACATGGTACAGTGGATAAAGACGTTACTTAGATCCAATGACAGGACCCAAAGAGTATGAGTTCAATACCCGGTTATGGCAATCGGGGACTTTCAGAGGGAAATTAACAGGAGATAACTGATAACTGACATCCATTAAACATGGCACGTGGAACTAGAACAGTCTACCCCAGTGAGCGAAATAAAGGGTTCAGTTCGACATTCCAACCACCTGACGAAGGCCGGAACGTACAATATGTGTGTATATGTGTGTTTTCGAGATACAGCGTAAACGATACGTAATACTCCAGCCAATTTAGGAGTATATTATATCTTCAACCCCTGTCGGATGCAGTGCCAACTTTTATTAAAATTTAGACAAGAGGTTTTTCGAGCTAGGACCCTTTTTATGGTTTTTTTTTTGTATTTTTTTTTTGTATTTTTTTCGGCAATTTTAATAGGAAATACAGTATTTGTTTTCAATACATATTCTCATATCCATTTGCGTATATGAACAAATACTTGAATATTATATGCCAACTATTACGCGTGTGAAAAATAATAAACGTACATAATATATTATAACAACGTTGTTAAATAATTTTAAACATACATAACGCAACATATATTTATACAACACTACATTAGAATTTTCTTGTAAACAAATATATCGGATGCTTGGAAGTAGTTAATAGGTGAAGATTCTATGTAGATCGACCATTGAACCCGGGTCTCATACAGACACACACATGCACGCACTCATACACATACCCATACACATACATATAGAGTCCGCCAAAGATTTATACACACTTCAGGAAAGGAAAAACTTGTATAGATATTGTAATACTAAATTTATTCAGACATCATGATATTAATACAAGTTAGCTTTGGATTCTGCAATCACATGAGATGCTCAAAATGATTGCATTAGTTTCCAGACATTTCGTACGGAAAAGCACGGGTAACGTTGGCCAAAGTGTCCAGTGGGATTACTGCACATGCATTTTCAATTTCTTGTCTAGGAATTGCCAATATAATGCCATCTGTCGAGAAAATATCGTAAACTACAAAATACAAGTTTTTTTCCTAAAGTGTCTATACATTTTTGGCGGACTCTCTCGCTCTCTATCTCCTTCTCTCTCTCCACACACACACACACACACACACACACACACACACACACATATATATATATATATATATATATATATATATATATAGTACAGGTAATCGATCCGTTAGTGTATAATCCGGGTGGATCCTAGTAATATTAATTATTAAAACTGATCCACAGATAGCTCGATGTGGATGTATTTATTATAAAAGAGCATATGTATTTTTAACATAAAAAAAACAAACGCATCGAGCAGATATGAATGTATGGCTGAAAATCATGGAGAATTGTAGTTTAAAAACAGTAAGATCGACCTTGCTAACCGAAACGCTCCTCTGTGGCTAAATCGGCAAGCTATATGACGGTTGCATATAGGATATAGGTTCGATTTCTGTCGGAGGATGCATATTTTCTATAAAAATTTCTCGGATATTCAGGCCGGTAAATGTTGTTTAATACTGTTTATTATAAACAGAGCATTTACGTAAATATTTGTATCTATAAAAAGAACGTATAAACACAAAAATAATGTTTTAATATATGTATTCTAAATAATTTTTGGATTTAATTTTAATCTGTCATTTATATTACTTCAAACTACTGCATGGGCAACGCTGGCCAAAGTGTTCAGTTGGATTGCTGCACATGTATTTTCAGTTCCATGTGAAAGGTCCAGCAATGTAGTCAATTTTCTGCGATACTCAACCTCCTTTAGGGCTTCCCATAAGTAAAAGTATAAAAAACTATGGAAGACAAGTTTTTCACATTCCTAAAGTGTGTATACATTTTTTAGGGCGGACACTATCTGTGGTGTAGACAAGAATCTGTGGAAAAATAAAACCAACTAAAATGTGTAATTAAAAGAGAATTTATAATTGTACAATAACTCGATAATGAAAGTCGTAACCATTGTCGACTCAGTTATTTCGAGATGAGAACACGGATGATTTGAACTCAATATTTAAACGTATTTTGTATAACAAAAGCATGAGTCAAAATATATTATTAGAATTTTTATTAAAAGAAGCTGTCTTGAAGAAATAGATACTGTAAATATACCCTAACAGGAAAGAGATAAAATCGATTTGTGCCTAATGAATGGATTCTGCAACAATCAACTGGAATAACATTTATCGACTCCATAATAGCTATTATGGTTATTTTTCCAGTTAAGTATCATGTTTGCTTGTGTATAGGTCGAATTTTTTAGACTAAACTTCCTGTACAAAATCGTTCTCGACCCATAATGCTTAAATATAATATGCTATATATATATATATATATATAAATTTCTCAGAGTTAAGCTTTAGAAAAAGACAATATTTATAAAGGTAAAAGACAATAGGAAAACTATTATTAGCCGACGTGAATTAGAATTTGTGAATATTTATGAATACAATAGCGTTTTCGAAATTCTTCCAGCTGCTAAGGACATTTTGTTTTGTTATTAATAGTTACTTTGTTTTAATAAATTCATTTCGTTTTTTGCATTGGACGAAACGCGTCGGCTAATAATACAGTTTTCCTATTGTCTTTTAACTTTATATATATATATATATATATATATATATATATATATATATATATATATATATATATATATATATATAATAGAATTTGGGGGATTTAGGCAAATAATTATAGTAATTCATCGAGACAAAAGGAATCCTCAACAGAACGCAGAAAGCACGGGATGGCCGTTTCGACTATTTTGCGATTCATCAGCAGACTATTCAGTTACTCCTTCGTCACTGAGCCCCAATGGTACAGTTGTTATGACACTTGCTTTGTATCAAAACGGTCCGTGTTCGAATCTCGGTTGTGGATACGCACTGCCGATGAGTCCCAAAATAGGACGAAACTGCCGTGTGATGCTTTCTGAATTCCGCTGAGGAGTCTTCTAGACTCGATGAATTACTATTTATATTTAAAATTTTTGTGCGTGTAACAATTAAGGTTCAGTGTGCAAATTTTTTTCATGAGACGCACAGAAGTCATGACCCCATTCACGTCCACGCGCAAAAAGCTACCACGCTGAGAAACTACAAAGTAACTCCCTTCTTTTCCTCTCTCTGCAAACTACGATCAAAGCGAAAGGAGTGATGAAAACTAGCCACGGAAAGAAACAGATACACAACTGCAAAGAAAGAAAGAAAGAAAGGATGAAAGAAAGAAAGTATGAAAGAAAGAAAGAGAGAGAGAGTGAGAGTGAGAGGGGGAAATAGAAAGGAATAGAGAGAGAAAGAGGAGATAAATATATATCAGACAAAACTAGGCCCAGGTTTATATTTTATTTCAGCTAGAATTAAACTTCACATAAAGTTACTTTTCTTCGAGGTGTCTTGGGTTGTGGGATCAACTATTTCTGACGATGTTATTCTAATTTCTCAGCAAATTCGACTCCCAAGGACACGTAAGGCGTGTCTCAAAACCACACGTAGAAAAGCTATGCGCGCATGCGCGCACACAATAAGGATAAAATACGGGTATCTTTCCTGGGATTAAA